TGGAATTTTGGGCTTGCTCACAAAGCTTTTGTTTAAATTTTAAAAAGCTACCATTGTAATTAAAAGTCACACCCAGATAGCTGAAATTGTCCACTTCTTCTATAACTTTACCGTTAATTCTAAATGCATGGTTATTATTAGATTTGCGTTTACAGAATACAAGTATTTTTGTTTTCTTCACATTAACTTCTAATTTCCATATATCACAGTACTTCTGAAAAACGTTAAGAGCATTTTGCAAACCTTCAGCAGTATCAGAAAGAAGAATTTTATCGTCAGCGAATAACGGGACCAACAGATCCATAAACATATTCAGCTCAGTCTGAAATTTATCTTTCAACTGTTCTAAGGGGGGTGACCTATTGGCTCTAAAAAAGTCTTCCGTGTCATTAAGGTAGATAGAAAATAAAAAAGGGGAAAGATTTTGCCCTGCCTTACACCAACTAGACAAGGAAATAACTCAGACTTGGTGTTTTTAATTCTACACATGGTTTTATATTTTCATACATGTTTTTGATAATAGTAAAGCATTTGCCTTTAAATTTGCTTTTATATAATTCTGTAAATCTTGGCACCACCACCAAACAATGTTATATACAATATTAAAATAAAGATTCAGTATCTAGATTTTGAATAAGACAGTTGTCTGAGCGTAAATAATAAAGTGACAGTTTTACAGGTTACAGATCCTTAAAGTGAAGTTCCAACATCCTCGGTACTGCAGTGACTGAATTATTTAGTGAGTTAAGATGCATGCTGCAAGGTGCTACGCTATCAGTCATTTTATATTGTCTCAATTGTTTCAAATGTTGTTTATGACTAAAACAAAAGAGATTGCAATATTAAATCATTGAAGTATTAAGAAAATGTCGCTGAATGAAATGAAAACTATATTGTACACACTAGTATTGATTAACTTACCAAAGTATTCAGGTAGCAGTTCCCATCTTGTTTGTTATTACATAATTTGTTTGTGTTAAAATAGCAATATTTTCCAAATTACTTAATGCCAATGAAGTATTAAGTAAATAAAAATTAATGTTAGATAATTTGAACTTTTAAAAAGCCGTTTAATGGATTTTGCGAAATGTGCGCAGGTATGACCTACTTCACTGCCCAGCAAAATGCAAGTATTTAAAAGTATTATAGTTGTTCAAAATTCGAATGATTGAAAGTAAAAGGACACACAATAACTGCCGAGGTTGTACTCCCGTCACAGATTCTCTGAGGGGAACTCGTCTTCATTATTATACTGATCACTAATACAGTGGTACATTATACTTTACCAACAGTACTCCATGACAATATGTTAAGTTTGCCGACCGTGATCTGACGTGCTGAGATACACACTTGTTAAAACAACACACTGACAAAGAACTTTGTTAATGATTTTTATTGACAGCTCGAGTATGACAGATCTTTATAATGGGATATGACAAATGGGCTGGTTCGAGGAAAACCAGAACAAACTTTCATACTACAATGTGCCAAGTTGCTCTGCTGGTCTCGTACACACCTATCACCTGGTTTGGCGCTAATAATGTCAATGATTTATAGAAAAGGATTTAGCATGCAATATACAACTATTCTTTATAGTAACAATTTTCAATAATTTAATATAACATCATATTTGCTTCTCCGTCTCTGTTATCTCCGAAGTCAGTATCTCGCATTCAAGCTAGTAGTTCTGAAAACATATCTGCCATTTTCTATACAAAAGGGTTGCAATAATTGGGTCGCTTCGTTATTTACACGGTTTTGTGCTGAGTAAATTGTATGAATCAATGTTTTCGCTTTCGTTCGCAATCTTCAATTACTTTCCTTATTTTGTAACTTTTCAATGTATTGATTTTTTTAATATTCCTTTATTATTCCTATCAACATGTCGATATGAAAACAATTTCATGAAAGATTTTCTTTTCGGAATTAGTATCGAAAATTTAATTAAACATGTATGCGTTATTCAAAACCAAATGTTCTGGTTAGATGTTGTCTAATAAGCTAGTAATTAACGATTTTCTATTTTAGCAACCAAATATCGTGCATGAGTTCTGTCATTCTCATCTGACGTCTAACTACCATACTTTAATGTCTACCAGCTGGGTTTTTTACAGAATTATCAAGACGATCTTGTCCTTCCTGGCCGTCTGATGTTTCCTGTGGTTGGTTTGATGATTTTTTTTAATAATTATCCTTTTGTTGTTTACAATAATAATCCGTTTGTTATGTTTTTAATGATAATCCTTTTGTTGTGTTTATAATGATCATCTTTTTGTTGTGCTCATAATGATAATCCTTTTGTTGTGTTTATAATGATCATCCTTTTGTTGTGTTCATAATGATAATTCCTTTGTTGTGTTTATAATAATTATCCTTGTATTATTTATAATAATAATCCTTTTGTTGTGTTTATAATAATCGTCCTTTTGTTGTGTTTATAATGATAATACTGTTGTTGTGTTTATATTAATCATCCGGTTGTTATGTTTATAATAATAATCCTTTTGTTGTGTTCATAATGATAATCCTTTTGTTGTGTTTATAATGATAAACCTATCGTTGTGTTCATAATGATTATCCTTTTGTTATGTTTATAATGATAATACTGTTGTTGTGTTTATATTAATCATCCGGTTGTTATGTTTATAATAATCATCCTTTTGTTAAGTTTATCATAATAATCCTTTTGTTGTGTTTATAATAATCATCCTTTTGTTGTGTTTATAATGATAATCCTATCGTTGTGTTCATAATGATTATCCTTTTGTTATGTTTATAATGATAATCCTTTTGTTCTGTTCATAATGATAATTCTTTTGTTGTGTTTATAATAATCATCCTTTTGTTGTGTTTATAATAATAATCCTTTTGTTGTGTTCATAATGATAATCCTTTTGTTATGTTTATAATGATGATCCTTTTGTTGTGTTCATAATGATAATCCTTTTGTTGTGTTTATAATAATCATCCTTTTGTTGTGTTTATAATGATAATCCTATCGTTGTGTTCATAATGATTATCCTTTTTTATGTTTATAATGATAATCCTTTTGTTGTGTTTATAATAATAATCCTTTTGTTGTGTTTATAATAATCATCCTTTTGTTGTGTTTATAATAATAATCCTTTTGTTGTGTTTATAATAATCATCCTTTTGTTGTGTTTATAATAATAATCCTTTTGTTGTGTTTATAATAATAATCCTTTTGTTATGTTTATAATAATAATCCTTTTGTTGTGTTTATAATAATCATCCTTTTGTTGTGTTTATAATAATAATCCTTTTGTTGTGTTTATAATAATCATCCTTTTGTTGTGTTTATAATAATAATCCTTTTGTTGTGTTTATAATAATCATCCTTTTGTTGTGTTTATAATAATAATCCTTTTGTTGTGTTTATAATAATCATCCTTTTGTTGTGTTTATAATAATAATCCTTTTGTTGTGTTTATAATAATCATCCTTTTGTTGTGTTTATAATAATAATCCTTTTGTTGTGTTTATAATAATCATCCTTTTGTTGTGTTTATAATAATAATCCTTTTGTTGTGTTTATAATAATCATCCTTTTGTTGTGTTTATAATAATAATCCTTTTGTTGTGTTTATAATAATCATCCTTTTGTTGTGTTTATAATAATAATCATTTTGTTGTGTTTATAATAATAATCCTTTTGTTGTGTTTATAATAATAATCCTTTTGTTTCTATCGTTTTGGTTCGTGTTTTTTATCATCTCTGATTTCTGTTTTTGTCCTTGTTCGTAACATGATTTCTTTACTTTCTCATTAACTATCTAAGAAAGTAATATTACTTATTATTTGACACTTTTTTTTAATTGTATCAACTTTAGCAGCACAAAAGACAAAGGTTACGCTATTGAAATTTCAACGCATGACCCTTTTGAAAAGTAAAAAACATTTAACGTAAATGTAGCATGAAGCGATATGATATTGGATAGAAATGGCAGTCTATTGATAAGCTTTATGACATTTTCAGTTGTTATTTTTTCTCAACTGATTTACACTTCAGCGAATCAGCTGAAAGGCCAAACTTCTTACATATATTGCTATGATCGATAGCATGGAATGAAATAAGGGTTGCTGATATGTTCCTTATACACGAACAAATACAGAATATATTACTATAAAGTTGCTTGTATTCATTGAAACATAACAATAAGACCAATCCATCATACGTTTGAATAGTTTAAACAAAATAAAGTGTTGAAGTCTCCTTAACGGAACTAAAACTTGACACCAATTATCAATGTAGTCTGCTGTAAAACAGCAATGGGAAAGGACGATATCATCAAGATGTCTTTAATAACAACATTAGCAGTAGCATGACTATGAATTTACTGGATGCTGAGAGTGAAAGACTCAATAACTAAACACGTATGTAGACATATTGCACATCGTGGAAAACTTTAACGAGGAATTGAAACAATAACGTTGAGAACCAATCTTTAACGGATCATTGTAATAATAACATTGAAAACCAATCTTTAAGGGATCATTGTAATAATAACATTGAAAACCAATCTGTAAGGGATCATTGTAATAATAACATTGAAAACCAATCTTTAAGTGATTATTGTAATAATAATACTGAAAACCAATCTGTAAGGGATCATTGTAATAATAACATTGAAAATCAATCTTTAAGTGATCATTGTAATAATAATGTTGAAAACCAATCTGTAAGGGATCATTGCAATAATAACATTGAAAATCAATCTTTAAGTGATCATTGTAATAATAACATTGAAAACCAATCTTTAAGGGATCATTGTAATAATAACATTGAAAACCAATCTTTAAGTGATCATTGTAATAATTACATTGAAAACCAATCTTTAAGTGATCATTGTAATAATAACATTGAAAACCAATCTTTAAGTGATCATTGTAATAATTACATTGAAAACCAATCTTTAGGGATCATTGTAATAATAACATTGAAAACCTTAAAATAATCATTATAATAATGAGGTGGGAAAACCGAGGGAGTTATGTTATGAAAACGTGGGGAACATTTGAAGGAGTATTGTCATAGTAGCCATTTCTCTCAACATTATATATTGATTATATTATGCCGTTGCAAGGTTTTTAACATGTACACTATTTGTATGCCATTTAAAGAAATCTGTGTTAAATATTGCACCTAAGCAATAGCAAATTCATAACAATTCACCATCAATGTTGAGTCAGTAATAATGATTCCCAGTAATGTTGTGTAAGTAATCGCGAGTCAGTAACGATTCATCCGTACAGTTGTGACAGTAAAAGCGAGTCAATAACGAGTCACCTGTAATGTTGTGACAGTAATACCGAGTCAATGACGACTCACCCGTACAGTTGTGACAGTAATACCGAGTCAATAACGATTCACCTGTAATGTTGTGACAGTAATACCGACTCAATGACGACTCACCCGTACAGTTGTGACAGTAATACCGAGTCAATAACGATTCACCTGTAATGTTTTGTCAGTAATACCGAGTCAATAACGAGTCACCTGTAATATTGCGTCAGTAATACCGAGTCAATAACGATTCATCTGTACAATTGTGTCAGTTATAGCGAGTCAATAAGGAGTCACCTGTAATGTTGTTTCAGTAATACCGAGTCAAAAACGAGTCACCTGTTATTTGTGTCAGTAGTAGCGATTAACAGTAAGCAATATAAATACATATATTTTTGTAGTTTACGCCCTCTATTTAAAATTTAACAATGCCAGACAAATGACTTGCATATGTCATGTTCAAACAAACGACAGACGGATGCCAGTTTAAGGTCTGGGGATCATGAAACATTCTGTATTTGTTTCTGTATTCAAAGATTTTTGGAGTGATCAGGGTTGTTTTGCAAAAAGAAAACCAGATTTTAACCAGTTTTCTTTTTCAATACTAAAGGGACGTGTACTCAATAAAAGGGATTAACATTTCAAAATTAAAAGAAATCAAAACCTAACAGCAAATATTTAATTGGAATATGTGAGTGCGTGCACGAACGTGCATGTGCATTTATGGGTGATTGTGTGCATGTGTGTCCCATGTAAAAAAAGGCAAACAAATTATTGGAGATGTTTGCATTAGCGGTCCCTTCCTGCCATACCTAAATAACTAACTGGACAATAGCGGTCCCTCCATATCACCCATAAGTAACAAAACAGACTAAAGCGGTATCTTCATAGCACACACAAGTAACAAAACAGACTAAAGCGGTCCCTTCATAGCACACACAAGTAACAGACTATAGCGGTCCCTTCATAGCAATCACAAGTAACAAACAGACTAGTGTAGTCCTTTCATAGCACACACAAGTAACAAACAGGCTATAGTGGTTCCTTCATACATGTAGCACACACAAGTAACAAACAGGCTATAGTGGTTCCTTCATACATGTAGCACACACAAGTAACAAACAGGCTATAGTGGTTCCTTCATACATGTAGCACACACAAGTAACAAACAGACTAGTTTAGTCCTTTCATAGCACACACAAGTAACAAACAGGCTATAGTGGTCTCTTCATAACAATCACAAGTAACAAAACAGACTATAGTGGTCCCACAACAAACTATAATAATAATACGTTATTAAACATAAATAATTTATTAAACAAGCTATAAATAGTTCAATACTCCAAAAAGAAAAGAAAATGAATAGTATGTTTACTTGCTATCACTCCATTGTTAACTTAATTCCCCTCAAATTTTTAATCAAACAATTTATTATAAACGAGGGCCCACTGTAAAACATATATTTAGACATTGACCTTTCAACTTTCGCACGACATTGAAATTCCCGCTATTTCACAGGGGTCATCATTTTGAAATCTTTTTCAAATATTATTATCAGATTTAATAACCATTAACCTTGCAATAAAATCATCTCATTAGCGAATTTTAGTATTTGCGAATAAAAAGCCTTTCAAAATAATGACGCAAGCGCAGAAATAGAGTTACTCTCACTATATAATAAATTACTTTACAAACTAATATCACAATAAATTACCCAATCTTCTCTATTATATAAATCCATTATAATCAAACGTTTGTCTTTAACACAATCACGTAAGATAATATTATGTCATCAAATATGAACAATTGTCAGTTTATGCAACACAAACATATATTGATAACTCTGGTCGAGTTTTATCCGGTTTTGCCGGAACACAGTTAGCGACATCTGCATGTATACTCAAATCACAACAATGAGTTATTGACATCATGCATCTAGACCCTAGCAACGATTACAAAGTCAATAATTCATCTAGACCCTATCAACGATTAAAAAGTCAATAATGCATCTAGACCCTAGCAACGATTACAAAGTCAATAATGCATCTAGGCCCTAGCAACGATTACAAAGTCAATAATGCATCTAGACCCTAGCAACGATTACAAAGTCAATAACTCATCTAGACCCTAGCAACGATTACAAAGTCAATAATGCATCAAGACCCTAGCAACGATTAAAGCGTTACTAATGCATCATATTCCTATATGAGCTAAGGATTGTATCCGTATTACCAAGGTTTATATATTGTCGAAAGAAACATGCTTTTCCATGTAAAATACAAACAAAATGAACGATAACAATTGTTTTCTCTAATTATCACACAGTTATATGAGGGAATAGCTATTCATTTGATATACTTGTGAGATCAAACTGTTTCTATTCGGAATGTTTTCACTAAATTTTCTATCTGCTTTAACTGTCAGTGCATTGTTTTCATTGATGTGTCCGGAAGATAACTGCTCGTGTCGTAGTCCGTAGGTGGCCTGGTGACGGGGTCAAGTTCCATCTTATCCGTCCCCTCTACCATCCCGTCCTCTGCCATTCGAGAGTAGTACTTAACTGCGGCAGGTTTGATGAGAGTGTTCTCCCCTCCTTTACGTTTTTTGTATCCCGGTAACCACAGGAACGACTCCATGCCATGTTCTTAGTAAAACAAAATCAATATATATAAATATCGTCCATGGAAAGGAAAGCATTGTCGTCAATTATTTATTCAAACCACATCCAAATCTTTCTTAAATTGTCAACATTCTACTTTAGTGGAAGTGACAATTTAATTTAAATTTGCTGAAATAGTCCTACATTTCTCTCCATATAATATAAGCAACCTTTATCCTCTTGAAAAAAAACAGAGTACCACTCAAAGAGGAATTGACTTTATGACCGACTATAAGGACTAGTTTTAAACAGGACTAGACCCCTGGCTAACGATGGTTTACTTAATAAGGCTGGAGTAAACAGAAAACAGTCTCAACTTTACGATGGTTCGGTTAATAAGGCTGGAGTTTACAGAAAACAGTCTCACCTTGACCAAGGTTCGGTTAATAAGGCTGGAGTATACAGAAAACAGTCTCACCTTGACGATTGTTCGGTTAATATGGCCGGAGTATACAGACAACAGTCTCACCTTGACGATGGTTCAGTTAATAAGGCTGGAGTTTACAGAAAACAGTCTCACCTTGACGATGGTTCAGTTCATAAAGCTGGAGTTTACAGAAAACAGTCTCACCTTGACCAAGGTTCGGTTAATAAGGCAGGAGTATACAGAAAACAGTCTCACCTTGACGATGGTTCGTGTAATAAGGCCGGAGTATACAGAAAACATCCCCACCTTGACGATGGTTCGTGTAATAAGGCCGGAGTATACAGAAAACATCCTCACCTTGACGATGGTTCGTTTAATAAGGCCGGAGTATTCAGAAAACATTCTCACCTTGACGATGGTTCGTGTAATAAGGCCGGAGTATACAGAAAACATCCCCACCTTGACGATGGTTCGGTTAATAAGGCCGGAGTATACAGAAAACATTCTCACCTTGACCAAGGTTCGGTTAATAAGGCTGGAGGATACAGAAAACATCCTCACCTTGACGATGGTTCAGTTAATGAGGCTGGAGTTTACAGAAAACAGTCTCACCTTGACCAAGGTTCGGTTAATAAGGCTGGAGTATACAGAGAACAGTCTCACCTTGACGATGGTTCGTGTAATAAGGCCGGAGTATACAGAAAACATCCCCACCTTGACGATGGTTCGTGTAATAAGGCCGGAGTATACAGAAAACATCCTCACCTTGACGATGGTTCGTTTAATAAGGCCGGAGTATTCAGAAAACATTCTCACCTTGACGATGGTTCGTGTAATAAGGCCGGAGTATACAGAAAGCATCCCCACCTTGACGATGGTTCGGTTAATAAGGCCGGAGTATACAGAAAACAGTCTCACCTTGACGATGGTTCGGTTAATAAGGCCGGAGTATACAGAAAACTGTCTCATCTTGACGATGGTTTAGTTAATAAGGCTCGAGTAAACAGAAAACATCCTCACCTTGACAATGGTTCAGTTAATATGGCCGGAGTATACAGAAAACAGTCTCACCTTGACGATGGTTCGGTTAATAAGGCCGGAGTATACAGAAAACTGTCTCATCTTGACGATGGTTTAGTTAATAAGGCTCGAGTAAACAGAAAACATCCTCACCTTGACAATGGTTGAGTTAATATGGCCGGAGAATACAGAAAACAGTCTCACCTTGACGATGGTTCGGTTAATAAGGCCGGAGTATACAGAAAACATTCTCACCTTAACCAAGGTTCGGTTAATAAGGCTGGAGTATACAGAAAACATCCTCACCTTGACGATGGTTCAGTTAATAAGGCTGGAGTGTACAGAAAACAGTCTCACCTTGACCAAGGTTCGGTTATTAAGGCTGGAGTATACAGAAAACAGTCTCACCTTGACAATGGTTTACTTAATAAGGCTGGAGTATACAGAAAACAGTCTCACCTTGACCAAGGTTCGGTTAATAAGACTGGAGTATACAGAAAACAGTCTCACCTTGACGATGGTTCAGTTAATAAGGCTGGAGTTTACAGAAAACATCCTCACCTTGACCAAGGTTCGGTTAATAAGGCTGGAGTATACAGAAAACATTCTCACCTTGACGATGGTTCGGTTAATATGGCTCGAGTATACAGAAAACAGTCTCACCTTGACGATGGTTCGGTTAATAAAGCTGGAGTATACAGAAAACAGTCTCATCTTGACAAAGGTTCGGTTAATAAGGCTGGAGTATACAAAAAACAGTCTCACCTTGACCAAGGTTCGGTTAATAAGGCTGGAGTATACAGAAAACAGTCTCCCCCTGACGATGGTTCGGTTAATAAGGCCGGAGGATACAGAAAACATTGTCACCTTAACCAAGGTTCGGTTAATAAGGCAGGAGTATACAGAAAACAGTCTCACCTTGACCAAGGTTCAGTTAATAAGGCAGGAGTATACAGAAAACAGTCTCACCTTGACGATGGTTCGGTTAATAAGGCCGGAGGATACAGAAAACATTGTCACCTTAACCAAGGTTCGGGTAATAAGGCTGGAGTATACAGAAAACAGTCTCATCTTGACAAAGGTTCGGTTAATAAGGCTGGAGTATACAGAAAACAGTCTCACCTTGACCATGGTTCAGTTAATAAGGCCGGAGTGTAAAGAAAACATCCTCACCTTGAAACTTATGTGTTCCACGTCCCACCGCATAGAGACCCCAGTAAACCAGCATGGCAATCACCACGATAATTAGACAAAACACCAGGAAACTAGGAGGCCCAAACGACACAAACAGCTGAAAATAGTAATAACACTGAAACAATCAATTCATGAGAAATCAAGAAAGGCCAGTGACTGCAAGAGGTATCAAAAGCGCCAAAAAAGTTGTGTATGCCGTATTATTTTTTTCAATTCTAGTGGGCATATGGCTTAGATACCGTGCAATGATGGGGGGGGGGATATCACTGCCAAGTTTTTCAGACACACATCACTGAAGCTGACGTCGTAAAACAAAACGTCCTAGTAAAGGGGTTAATGGCATCCAGCTAATCCATGACCATGCCTCAGCCCTTAAAAGTAATATTGTACGGGCGATTTTGAAGCAAGAGATAGATTGAACACCCACTCTGTTTACTAAATCTAAGTCCCTGTGACTATTTCCTGTTTCCTTTACTAAAGGTAATGCTTTTTGGTACCGTCTGCCTTTAGGGAGTGCTCTGGGTAGTGCAATCAGCCGGTGTCCTGCCAGTATACTGGGGGGAGACTCGCGCGAAGCATTTATGCATTGATAGCACGATTGCAAAAGTGCGTTTCCACTACGGGGGATACTTTGACGGATTGAAATAGAAATATCAAACTATATACATCATACATGACAATCCGGACACTATTGCCATGATATATTGAATGATCCTCGTTCATAAATAGAACAACACTACTTACGTTGCCAACAATGACCGGACATAGGGTTTCCCCCAAGGCAGCACACACCACAAGACAGGAGGCAACGGAGGCTAGAAAACAAGCGAAACAAGTTTATGTTATGGCGGTTTTCGTAACTGTTATCCCCCCTTACACATACAAAATAATACCTTAGTTCGCTGTTAAGGATACTGAATTATTTGTGCTTTTTAATTAAAGCATGGCGTCAGTTGTAAAGTTCTCAATGAAGCTCTCATTCATGATAATTGTATTATCATTAAGTTGTCGAGTACACTATCTTTGTCATGACATTATCTATACTGTGTTTAATACACAAGTATCCTATAACCTATATCAACGACTATTTCATATAAAGGATTATATTGAAATATCACCAAGATCATTAAAATGTTCTTCCTATTTACGCCAATTTACAGTTGTGTATAAAATAACATAGCAATAACGCATTTAATTCAGTTGATGTGTAAAATGTATAGTGTTTAATGACAACATATAGACTAAGCAGTGGCCATTTTAAAGTGTGTGTGTTGGGGGGGGGGGGGGGGGGCTTTTTATCTTAATAAATAGAAGGAGGGACAAAATTGGCCTTTCCATCAAGTCCATTTTAGAGTGGCAAACAATTGCCATCTCTCCAAATGAATTATTGCGTCACTGTCTGGCTGAGAGAATCCAATCAATTTCCTACAATTGGCCATGGCTGTGCATGCTTCTTTGTTTAAGTAACTGTGATCAGCTGCCCACACAGACGACTTTTGATTGTCCGCGAATGAGTTCGTGACTTCATCGCAGAAAAAAGGATGAAACGACGTTCAAACTGAAAGGAAAGTCCAACACTAGTCGTAAAACTGTCGTTCAGGTCTAAAAAAATGATCTTAGCGGAACTGTGCATGAAAGAAATGTCAAGACATGAAGAGAATATGGTTTAGATAAGGGGCCACTTTAGACCACTTATTGGTACGCCCTTTTTATGATTTTTAGTTACCGTAACGTTAATATATGGTTTAGATAAGGGACCACTTTAGACCACTTATTGGTACGCCCTTTTATGATTTTTAATTACCGTAACGTTAATATATGGTTTAGATAAGGGGCCACTTTTGACCACTTATTGGTACGCCCTTTTATGATTTTTAATTACCTTAACGTTAATATATGGTTTAGATAAGGGGCCACTTTATACCACTTATTGGTACGCCTTTTTTATGATTTTTAATTACCGTACCGTTAATATATGGTTTAGATAAGGGACCACTTTAGACCCCTTATTGGTACGCCCTTTTTATGTTTTTTAGTTACCGCAACGTTAATATATATGAAGTTACTGTAACAAGATGTTTGCATACCAACTATTGTAAAGTTACTTAATGTATGGATTAAAAAGAACAGATATAGTATATAATTTTATGAATCTTTATATAACATTTAGTGACGTTACCAGTAATAAAGACAAACATACATATACATTTTACATAGTAATATCAATATACACAAACATCACACACACACACACACACACACACACACACACACACACATACATACATACATACATACATACATACATAATATACCAAGAGTGAATCACGATATATCGCAATACAGTATGAATATATTGCGTATCCCGATATTTTGTCATAGGAAAGATGTGCTCGATTATATGATAAGTTGTAGTCAGAATGTTATCAAACGTAATCATATATAATATGGATCACATGGAGTTAAGTTATTTTTCAAACCAATTATCGAATACAAAACTAATTCCCACCATTATTAAAAGCCTTTTGTATGCTGATTGGAATATCTGTTAGAATTTGTAGTAATTTGCAAAATTAGATCACCAAGCAGATTGAGATACATGAAAATCAGCTTTAAGAATATATTTAGATACAGCAATATTTCATCTCTGTACAATACAATATACCCGTGTATTGCGATATACCAGTTTTCCGATATATTGTGAGAGCCCGAACACACAGCCACACACATATTTATACTGAACACATTTACTCAGGATACATACACACATACATGACATATGAAAATATTGTAAACATACACACATTCATACATGCATGCATAAACGTAGCATAAATCAATACATGTAGTTTATGCAATAATCCAAACCAAAAGGATACTTCAGTATATGTCACTCTAAACTGTTTCATTACTACACAGCATTATTACAAGGGGAGTCATCAGAACATATATGCATGTGTAAATCGAGAATGCATACATACATATATGCATGCTCAAACATATATACCCATATCCATGCATACACGCATGCATGTACACAGATATGCACACATATACACATATATCCACTCCATGCCTAGGAATGTACAAATATATCCATCCGTGCATACATACATGCATAAACATTCACAAACAAACCGTGTAACATAAACATGTATACACATAGTTATATATTTCATGTGAGTTCTTTTTAATTTTATAAGATTATTTGTCAATCATCAGTTTCATATCACAGCATTTTGCATATAGAATATCATATACCTATATACAAATGTATATACATATATAATTTAGAATATTCAATACTATATGTAAATATATACTTAATTGATGTTATATATATTATATATAGTTCTCGAATATTCTCGGGTTTCAGCTAGGTTAATTAATTTCTTTACCCGTAGAGGATTTAAAATAAGATAGTATAGGCTTGTAGCATTTTTAGCTTTAGGGTATGAAAATATTCGACCATGATTCCAATGTTTTTTCAAATGTCTCAATGTCCCCACTCCCTTGGTATATTACCTTGTCAATATCATGTACATTAAATAGAAAATAACAAATAAATTCAGTCATACGTCAGATATTGTAATGAAAAAGTTATACTAAACACGTCAGATATTGTAAAGAAGAAGTTTTACTAAACACGACAAATATTGTAACGAATAAGTTATACTATACACGTCAGATCTTGTAACGAATAAGTTATACTGTACACGTCAGATCTTGTAACGAATAAGTTATACTATACACGTCAAATATTTTAACAAATAAGTTATACTATATACGTCAGATAATGTAACCAATAAGTTATAGTATAAAACGTAGTATGTAACGAATAAGTCATTTCTTTTTACTTTGTCCAAAATATAACCGAATCCGTTCCAATATGCTCCGTGCTGTTTGTCATATATTCGCTCCAAATATCAATTCCAACCTTATTGTAGAGCTCATGCCAAATGTTCTTGTCAAAATAATTTTATGTGGATTAGAAACTCTAAACGAAATTGAGAACAAAACATTATTTGACCATGTTGTTGAATATATCGTAAATTCGAACAGATTCTCTCTCTCTCTCTGTAATGTGTGTGTGTGTGAGTGCAAGTGTGTGCGACATTTGTACGTCTTTTGTCTAATTGTCCATATTGTATGTTTGATATATGTTGAGGAGAGCATCTAGTAGCCTTCGGGCTGTTTGCAATCCTCGTAAAATAAATAAAGAATTAAACTAATTACGTTATACTGTACACGTCAAATATTGTATTAATTAAGTTATACTGTACACGTCAGATATTGTAACGAATAAGTTATACTGTACACGTCAGATCTTGTAACGAATAAGTTATACTGTACACGTCATATCTTGTAACGAATAAGTTATACTGTACACGTCAAATATTGTAACGAATACGTTATACTATACACTTCAAATATTGTAACGAATAAGTTATACTATACACCTCAAATATTGTTACGAATAAGTTATACTATATACGTCAGATAATGTAACGAATAAGTTATACTATATACGACAAATATTTTAACGAATACGTTATACTATATACGACAAATATTTTAACGAATACGTTATACTGTACACGTCAGATCTTGTAATGAATAAGTTATACTGTACACGGCATATCTTGTAACGAATAATTATACTGTACACGTCATATCTTGTAACGAATAATTATACTGTACACGTCAGATCTTGTAACGAATAATTATACTGTACACGTCAGATCTTGTAACGAATAATTATACTGTACACGTCAGATATTGTAAAGAATACGTTATACTATATACGTCGGATATTGTAACGAATACGTTATACTATATACGTCAGATAGTGTAACCAATAAGTTAAACTATAAACGTCAGATCTTGTAACGAATAAGTTATACTATATACGTCAGATATTGTAACGAAAAAGTTATACTATATACGTCAAATATTTTAACGAATAAGTTATACTATACACGTCAGATAATGTAACGAATAAGTTATATTATATACGTCAGATCTTGTAACGAATACGTTATACTATAAACGTCAGATCTTGTAACGAATAAGTTATACTGTGCACGTCAGATAATGTAACGAATAAGTTATACTGTACACGTCAAATATTGTAACGAATAAGTTATACTATACACGTCAGATCTTGTAACGAATAGGTTATACTATACACGTCAGATCTTGTAACGAATAAGTTATACTGTACACGTCAGATCTTGTAACGAATAAGTTATACTGTACACGTCAGATAATGTAACGAATAAGTTATACTATATTCGTCAGATATTGTAACGAATACATTATACTGTACACGTCAGATCTTGTAACGAATAAGTTATGCTATACATTTCAGATCTTATAACGAATACGTTATGCTGTACACGTCAGATATTGTAACGAATAAGTTATACTATATACGTCAGATCTTGTAACGAATACGTTATACTGTACACGTCAGATCTTGTAACGAATAAGTTATACTATACACGTCAAATATTGTTACGAATAAGATATACTATATACGTCAGATAATGTAACGAATAAGTTATACTATAAACGTCAGATATTGTAACAAATAAGTTATACTATATACGTCAGATATTGTAACGAATACGTTATACTGTACACGTCAGATCTTGTATCGAATAAGTTATACTATACACGTCAAATATTGTTACCAATAAGATATACTATATACGTCAAATAATGTAACGAATAAGTTATATTGTACACGTCAAATATTGTAACAAATAAGTTATACTATATGCGTCAGATATTGTAACGAATAAGTTATACT